ATACGTCTATTTAGGAACTCATGATGTAGACATACTGGTATTTCATATGGTGACACATTTTCATTGCATAATATTATTATACTAGCATGTATAGACTGCATATATATATTTTATCAAGGGAACCAAATAAAAATCTAAATTTCTTTCACTAACAATACAAATTCACCTATCAGACCTCATGTTGTGTGTGTGCAACTTGTCTCGTGTGTTTCTCAGTTCTGCAGTGGGAACTTACTGATACAGAAAAATTGGAATTTCATATAATTACAAATTTTACATCATTACATCGGTTAATTACTAAGGCTTGCACATACATTATCCGGAAAACAGATTGTTCATCTGAATGTAAGTTATGGGTGAGTTGCTCATTGACCCGGTCCCACGGACTGGTAATAACTCGAGGTTACTTTCCGGTTTGGTCGGTAAATTCAAGTCTATAACTGCACTTATTTTATTTAAAGTGCTTATAAACCAACATTTATGAACATGTCAAATCTTATATTCACACTTACCGGAACATAACACTCTTTATAAATCCACATTTGTTAATTATTATTTTCTCTTTCGCTGTCAAAAATGGCGGTCAAATCCTTCTTGTCAATCATTGCGAGTCACGTGCCAAGTCACGTGATCGATGACTTACAAATAATTACTATTTGACTGGTCAGTATGGGAAGTGACCAATCTCTGTGTTATAGTAGTCTCAGGCACAAATGAAATACTTTATTTTGGCGTAAATGAAATATTTTCTTGACGTAAGGGACGACATCAAAAGATCAATGTAGGATAAAAAACTTAAATCAAATAGTTTGGGGGTGGGGGGTTAAAATTGCTGCAAGTTTTGTTTATCCAAAATCGATTTTACATATTTCCATATTGGTCAATCAATTTTTCCCAAATTAAGTTAAGAGGGGGGGTGGGACCGTGGGAGGGTCAGTGAAAAAACTATGTGAATTAAGTTTTTTATCCTACATTGAACTTTTGATGTCGTCCCTAAAAGAAATCCCAATTAGTGCAAATGCAAAGGGCTGTTCCAAAGTTTTAACAGAGATTAATGATTTGTACATATTTTTCTTTCAAACATACATGTACTCTTCCCAACAGAAAAGCAATTACTTTTTTTTCAACTTTTCTTGTCTTTGAAATATATCCAAAAGATTTCAATTAAACTAGATCATTTGAAAGTCACATATAAACAGATTAAATTTTCCCTTACTCTATCAGGAATTTCCTTCCTCAAATATACATCAACTGATTTGAAACTTGTACAAATAAACATAACTGATTATTACAAAATTATGCATGATTGCTTTCTAAACTTGAATTATAAGTCATTCCAAAATAATCATGATAATGCAATCTTTTGAAGTTTTTGCTCACTTAAAAATGTATACTTTTCTTTCAAAATGTTAATGAGGAAATAATCAAATTTTTTTTAATGCATTAGCTTAAATACATCTTTGGTAGCTGGTGGATAGTTGTCTCTGTTACAATCATACATTTCCTTATTTTTATATCAAACACAGCACGTGAATGCACTTGATACCAATTCATTCATTAATCATTGATAATACACATACAAAACCTTGTATCTGTTTTTTTGTGTTGATTTAATAAAATATTATGCAAAATTTGATCTCAGTTTGCCCCTGGGGTTTTTTCTAAAATAACAACACTTAAAAGTTGTATTCACTTTTTTGTAGTGTTATTCTTTTAATTTTTTTTTAACTTAAGAAATTCAAGTGTGTCACTGATTTCTACATCTACCTAGGACAATTAAACATTTAGTTCAAAAGTATCTTGAGAATTGTTTAACTTAACTGGTAGTAAGAGTGGGACTTTAAAAAAGCAGGAATGTACATGTATTCAATGTAGACAGACATGACAGACACCTGAACCTAGAGTACCCATGTTTTGCAATGAGCACCTAACATCACATTTTGTTTACTTATTTTTTGGATTTGGATGAGCTTTACAAAAAAGAGAATAATGGGTAAAAACAAAAAAACATGAGAAAAATGTCCTAAAAAATTTAAGAATACAGGAATGAAGGAAACCCCCCTCCCTGGTTGACGGAATACTCCGAATAGGGAAGTTATGTGTCTAGACTAAAATACATTTGTAAACACGAAATGCTGATCGATACATATGATCGAGTCTGTGCATTGTTTATTCATGTTATTGTTTATTCTAGACTTTTTGTAATTTGGATATACGTTTTAGTATGTTATAAATCAAATATTAGAATTTGAGTCAAATTGGTGAACATGAAGTTGACAGGTAATGCCCCTTCAACTGAGTGTTCTGTTTACTGATTACTTACATAATATGTTAATCATAAAAAGAGAGAGAAAGTACCAAGAGGCAACCTGAAATAACTAGACATCAATGAGATGGGAGCCATCTCTGTGGGCCCCGCTGTAAATAATGTGTGGTAAAAAATTTGTATGGATAAGCTGATATGAAGCACTTTATTAAGTTTTGACCTTGAACTTTGATCTAGGAAGTTGTACAAACATTATGACACACCCTCTGGTGTTGGTTAATATACATGTCAAATATAAAGCATGAAATTATAACGGTACGGGTACTCTAGATATAGAGCGGACACAATTTGTTACAGACGGACAGACTGATCACTGTAGGGCTACCCCCACCTAGAGGCCCTAATTATAGAATAACTAATCAAAGAATTCAAATATAGAAAAATATTCAACGAGTGACCGAACAACACATTAATTCACGAATGGGCGTAGCGCATGAGTTAATTATCAGAGTTGTTCAGTCAAAAGCTTTTCAATGGAAATAAAGTAGAAAATGCAAGGAACTATATCTTATATCTTTTTATATCTTTTTCTACGCATTTACAATTTGCTTAAATAGCTTTGATGCAACATCATCGACAACATCTTGACAACACCTACTGTTGTATGACGTCAGAGGAGTGAAATTATCGAGTTTATTTCACATGTGAAATTATCAGTTTTTATTTCACTGGGAAATCACCGTAATTCATCGCAACAAATGTAATAATTATAGAATTACAATGGCCAAAAGTAAAAAGATGAAAAATACGAACAATAATAAAACAGGACACAGAAAACCAAAGATAGAGCAACACCAACCCCCATCAAAAACAGGGAATAAATTCAAATGTTATTAATATGTTGTTGTAAACTATACACACAAAACATCTGTCATGTTTGCTTCTTGTGATATTATCTTCGATATGTCCTTTAAGAAAATTGCCTTCAGTTATTAAATGCAATAATCATACTTTATGCAAAAAAGTACATGTATCTTCTCACATCAAATAGAGATTTAATCATGATAAAAGCTGAAAAACTTAAAATGGCATTGTGGTTCATTGATTTTCTTTGCTACAAATGATTGCGCAATTTTACAGGTAAAATTTGTACTTTTATTCTATGTTTACAGTTGAATAAATTAATCAATCTTGATGTATTCCTTTATATAGAGACTGAAACATCACTTTGTTATTCTAGAGTCTATCAATATCATGATTATCACATGTATCATCTGAATGAATGTGACTAAACTAAATTTTAAAATGCAGCAAGTTTTGAATTAGAGTGGTTCTTATATATTATAAGTTCTATAACCTTAAGTTAATCTATTTGTGGTTTTGGAGGGAGGGTTAAGGCATCACTGCATCTGACAATAATGCTAATTTTTTAACATTTGAATGATTTCTGTTCGCTTAATGTCCAGTGTTTAATGTCCAGTGTTAAATATTCCTTGCTTATTCAGGAAGAGAACAGATTAAGATAAAACTTAATACATGTAATAGGAAGGTCCTGAAAAGTTGTCTACCTGTGTGAAGGCCATAAATATATACATAGTTAAAACCGCTGCATTTGTATGCGCTTGTCCTAAGTCAGGAGCCTGTTGTTCAGTGGTTGTCGTTTGTTGATGTGGTTCATAAGTGTTTCTCGTTTCTCATTTTTTATATAGATTAGACTTTTTTTTTCTGTTTGAATTGTTTTACACTGGTCATTTTGGGGCCCTTTATAGCTTGCTGTTCAGTGTGAGCCAAGACTCTGTGTTGTAGGCTGTACTTTGACCTATAATTGTTTACTTTTTACACATTGTGACTTGGATGGAGAGTTGTCTCATTGGCACTCATACCACATCTTCTTATTTATACATACAACATGTACAATGTACATGTTATGTAGAAGTTGTAATTGAGCAAATTATGATTTGTACAAACTTTTTCAGAATTTTGACATGCACCCTCATTCCCAAAGTTAGAAAAGTTTTTCTAATAAAATTAACCAACTTAAATTAAAATTCATACACTATCATGACTATCATGACTATAACTTAACATTAAACTTGCCCCCTTTTGACATAAAGCGGCAAAATGAGGACATTAGACAAGGTTAAATTCTTTATGGTTTTTTTCTGCTAATACCAGTGTTATGTATAAGACTGTCTGATGTAGATATGTTTATATGAAAGTGATATAAGCTAAATCAAAAGAAAAATTAATTGTTTTTTTTTCCAATTAGGTTTAGTGTGACACAAAATACTGATGTCTTGAGAATGGAAACGGGGAATGTGTCAAAGAGACAACAACAAGATCAATGAGCACAAAACAGCCCAAGGCCTCCAATGGGTCTTCAACACAGCGAGAAAATCCCACACCCGGAGGCAGGCTTCAGCTGGCCCCTAAATAAAAATGTGTACTAGTTCAGACAAAATGGATGTCACACTAAACTCCAAAACATACATGACATATAGATGAATCAAAATTTAAAAAAAACATACAAGACTAACAAAGGCCAGAGGTTACTGACTTGGGACAGGCACAAAAATTTTATCTTAGGATATAAATTTCAATTAAACAACAGTTATTCAATGTAATAATTATACATGTAGTATACATTTTACATGTACATGATGTAGTATACATTATACATGTATATCCTGACACATCATCAAATACAAATATAATAGGTATAAAAAATACTTACTGATATTATATCATAATTATTTTATCATGGTTTGTTGATTTTTCTCCATTACAATTTATGATAATGTATAATTTCTACAGGTAAAATTAGTATTTTTATCCTGTTTCATGTATTTATAGATACATTACAGTAACCTTGAATAAATTTTAGAATCTTGAAATATTACCTGCAAAAAAGATTAAAAAATTTATCTTGTTATTTTATTGATTAATTGTTGTTTGCTTTGCATCCAGTGGCAAATATTTCATTTTGTTTATCAGTATGGCTCCTAAAAGCCCTCTTACATTATTGATCATATGATTCAAGTGGAGGGGGAAAAGTTTCTTCTCTTATTCACTATGAACTTTAAATATTTAATATAATTACATTACACAGAAGTTTCATAAGATTCTGTAATTTTGATTGGCCGAAACATTTCAGAAGTTGAATTTTATTTCCGTATAAAATGTTATATCCAGGACTCAGTGAGTGCATAGGTGACAACATTAAAACAATGCGAAGAAAAGCAAGCGAATGGCTTGATTTCTCATTCGTAATGTCATGGTTGTAGCATAAAAATGTTATTATATGAATTGAATACTTGTTTTTTTAATTTTATAAGGTTGTAACAGACTTTAACCTGCGCACATTTTTAGTATGAAGCACTTCTGCTTCAGTTATTGTTTTTACAAAAGAGGCTGATTAGAAACAACATGGATATTCAAAACTCAAAGAGAAACTGACAACCCCATGGCCAAATCAAAGTGCTTGTAAGCACTGAAGGGTAAAGATTGTTTTAATTTATCAGTGGGAAGTAAAATTAAACATTGAATTGTATAAAACATTGGTTGTAGTTGATTCAACTAAAATTATTGAGAAAGGAAGATAACTCCAATTTTAAACATTACTTTAACAATGACATCATTGATATTTTTAGATATTTATAGATTCCTGCACCTTGCACGAGTTATGTAATTTTCTTAACAAGTATAACATCATTTTTGTAGCTTGAATATCTGAGCATATATTTCACTGATAAATTTCTGGAAATGTTCAGGGATAGGATGTTTAGAATGTTATGATCAATGCACTATATTTTGTGTATCTCAAAAGTAGTGATAAACATTGGAAGATTTAGATTAATCAGTATCATAGGGTTTTGATTGCATTTCATGCAATCTTTGCCCAAAAAACAAAAGACGATGAAAAGTCAAACAAGTCCACAAAACACGTACATAGAAAACTAGGCTAAGCAACACAAACCCCAATAAAAACTAAGGGTGATATGATGTGCTCTGGAAGGGTAAGCAGATTCTTCTCAAATAGTTGGGACTGTCATGTAGCTCATGGTTTAATAGTATAAATTCAGTGATGTCACAATAGAGATAAATTGATTGATTGTTGGTTGCTTAACATCCAGTGACAAATAGAGATGAATAAGAAGACAGGATTTTGGTTACCACAATTGGAAGAATGGTAGAAAAGCAACTTTGAAATACATTTTACCAGTTACAGATCACACATGTGACATGTTCTTGACTTCAAGATTTTTTATAAGAATAACAGAGAGGAATGTTGTATAGCATCAAAATCTACCAATTGATCGTATGTGTAATAAATTTAATTTCACAATATTTACTAATGTATGAGAGAGGGAATTTGGTTCCTCCCATGGCGATTATTTATAAGTAATTAAGTTTGAAATGTTTTAACTCCATTGACTGCAACATAAAATGCAGGAATATATTGTGTACAAAAATTGAAAATAAATTTTCACGAGTAAAAAAAAACAAACATGTGTAGCAACAGATGCAAATAAAAGTCAATGTGCTATAACCTCTGTACCATTGTCTTCAGGTCAAAAATAAATCAAAGACTTTTACAGACCCTTTGAATGTGAAATTTCCTAGAGGGAATTTCTCCTAGCGTTATAATATTAGTACAAATCCTCATAATGGGGGTACCTTCATGACGAATAATGGTAAAAAATCTTGCCAAATGAAGTTAACAGTAATTTTTGGTGCATGACGATAAAATGTACATTTTTTTTATGAGGATAAAAAAATCCAATATTTTGACGAATCACCATGATCACGTGCGTTAATTCTTTTCCAAAAATAACGGTAACAGATAATTATTTGAGACTTCTGAAGAATCACGATTCGAATATTTTGACAAATCACGATAAAATTTTAACCAATTTCACGCTAACGGTAGCTGAAAATGGCCTTTTGACGCCTGACGGTAAAGGGCATTCCTACCCTCTTATAAGGAATAAAATGTTATTCTCCTGCCCCCCCTCCATGAATATCAAATGGTTGTAACATTATAGCTAAAAAAGATAAGGTATTAATTATTTGATCAATTGACAGAAGTGATCTTCTTCAATTTTAATCATTGTAATACAACGTTTTTTAAGTTTACAGTTTTACACCAAACAATATATATTATCAACATGACCAACCGGGGCAACCCTAGTCTAAATAATTATGACATCTTGCAAGCCTATTTTAATTTTTTTCTGTATCGCCTTCCTACGACGTCACAGAAAAAAAATTAAAATAGCCTTGCAAGACGTTATAATTATTAGGACTAGGGCCGTAGGGGCAGGGCAACCCATGAACTTGTTCAAAAATTATAATGAGTGAAATTCCGAAATTTCCATAACTGTCATCACTTTCAATTTGTTAAATCTTTTAGAAAACAAACATATCTATCTATCGCTCTACTGTCATAGCATAAAAATATTTCTTTTGGACGAATTTGTATGTAATACCTTCAGGATCTGAAATTCAAGGGACATCAACCATTTTTTGTTTTGGTTTATAATCACGCGAGGATTTGCGAGAGTTTCCTTTCTGCGCCTGCGCTAAGTTCCTAACAACCTGTCAACAAAGTGTGGGGCAAATTTATAATCACCGTTTAAAACTCTTATTTATGAAATAACTGGTAAGTTTCTTAAGTAGCATATATTAACAAACTTCTGAATACACAAAAAATCATCTAAATCAGGAACTTATCGCGTATGCATTGTCCAGAAATTGAAGATAAGTAACCTGTTAAAAAAGCCTTTACAAGGGGAAAAAAATCTTGATCAGTTCATGTATGTAATTATGAAAATTAGCACAACTCGGAAGTCACTACAGCTGGTTCTTTTCCCTTCAATTTTTTGTCAAAAGAAGGGTTAGTGAAATTTAGATGAGGAATAAATGTGCAAGGTTATTGTTCTTAGTTGTTAGTCAGCCATACATTCATCATGTTCATATCATGTCATTGTAAACCTGAAGACACATGGTGATGGTTGATCATGGTTATATCGGACACAAACTTAGCCTACGTTAGAAAATGTACGCTTGCAATGATACTTGTGTTTGATCTGAAAAGAAGCTATAAGGTCATCACAGCGCTGACGTCAAAAATACAGTACTGACTGTTTTCAACAAAAGCTGACAAAATCTTAAGCCTAATGTGTTTATATGCTGGCTATTGATTTTGTCTACAATAATCCACAAAATTAGGATCGGTAATATGTCTTTATTCTACTAACTGGTCAGTGGCGTAGCTGGACATATGTCGAAGGTGAAGCCCAATTCGGTGAAGCCCCCCAGAAGCTTCTGGATTTTAGGGTTTTAGACCCACAAATATGAACTGAAAATATTGAATGTAAAGGTCGATTCAAAAGCATTTTTGTTTGATACAAAGGTCAAATATTTTTGTGAAAAATTATATATTTTTCCTCCGAGAAACAGTAAAAACCAGGAGATTCCAGATGGGTAAAAAAAGTTATATTGACTAAGACCAGTATAATAACTAGAAAAATTCGTAAGGGTTCCGCGGAACCCAGTGTCTCGCCTACTTTTTCTGTTAATCGCAGGCTCAACAAAAATGAGGAAGTACATCAATAAAAATATTCCTCTTGATACTATCTTTTGATTGTAAGAAGCTTCTGTCCAAGTTTGGTAAAAATCCAGGATAGTTTATGAATCTAATAAATGTTTAAAAACTTTTAACTGCAGACTGAATGTAATGTTAACTGGAAGAAAACAAAATTTCCTTCTAGATACTAGCATTTGATCATAAACAAGCTTCTGTCCAAGTTTGATACAAATCCAAAATAGTATAAGAAAGTTATTAAAATTTTAAAAACTTTAACCACAGAGTGAATATGTTGTTTCCTGGCAGAAAATCTAAGTCCATTTAAAAGTAAAATATGGAAAAAATGGATTTATTTTTTACAAAATTTCCTTCAAGATACTAGCTTTTGATCATAAAAAAGGTTCTGTCCAAGTTTGGTACAAATCCAAAATAGTATAAGAAAGTTATTAAAATTTTAAAAACTTTAACCACAGAGCGAATGTGTTGTTTCCTGGCAGAAAATCTAAGTCCATTTAAAAGTAAAATAAGGAAAAAATGGATTTATTTTTTTACAAAATTTACTTCTAGATACTATCTTATGATCATAAACAAGCTTCTGTCCAAGTTTGGTACAAACCCAGGATAGTTTAAGAAAGTTATTAAAATTTTAAAAACTTTAACCACGGAGTGAATATTTGTGGACGCTGCCAACGACGACGCCGAAGGAATGTAGGATCGCTATGTCTCGCTTTTTGGACTAAAGTCGAAGGCTCGACAAAAACCACCACATTCTAAATTGTTTAGAGATAAAATGTAAACAATATATCCAGTTAAAGTGGGTACCCAGGTAAGGGCAGAGTTGGCTCCTTCAAACTAGTTTAACCCCGCCACATTCTGTATGTGCCTGTCCCAAGTTTCAGTCGACTCGTTGTCGTTTGTTGCTGTACATCATATTTGTTTTTCGTTCATTATTTTGTACATTAATCAGGCTGTTAGTTTTCTTGTTTGGATTGTTTTACATTTGTCATTTCGGTGCCTTTTATAGCTGACTATGCGGTATGGGTTTTACTCATTGTTGAAGGCCATAAGGTGACCTATAGTTGTTAATTTCTGTGTCATTTGGTCTCTTGTGAAGAGTTGTCTCTTTGGCAATCATACCACATCTTCTTCTTTTTATACGTACTGATGGGCAGCGGAAAACAACTTACGAGTTCAACTAAATGGAAATAGACGAACGAATAGATATATAGTGGTGGCACACACTTGCCTTTGACTGTATTAAGCAAACATCGTGTTAAAGCTGAGCAATATTTTTGCTACAACATTGTACAACATTATGCATGATTCTAAGTTTCCTGCCATGTTTGTCAGTGAATAAACTAAAATCAAGAGTGCACACGCTGAAATGTCTCGCCTACTATACTGACCATTGATTTTATGTTGATAGTCCTACATATAAAGTTTTACTATAAGTATCACATTAACATTTATGATCCAAGAAAATCAGGTCAAGATCTGATAAACCAAGGCTGAAATACATGTACACATTTAATACAATCGTTCCATACACAGAATAAAGATGACCTATTGCTTATAGTATAAAAGAAACAGACCAAACCATGGAAATTCTATATTGACCAATGAATCATGAAAATGAGGTGAAGGTCAGATGATACCTGCCAGGCAGACATACTTGGATGGAGAGTTGTCTCATTGGCACTCATACCACATCTTCTTATATCTGTACACACCTTAATTTACAATCATTCCATACACCAAATATAGTTGACCTATTGCTTAAAGTTTAAGAAAAACAGACCAAAAACACAAAAACTTAACATAAGCAATGAACCATGAAAATGAGGTCAAGGTCAAATAAAACCTAGCAGACTGACATGTACATCATAAGATATTTCCATACACCAAATATAGTTGACCTACTGCATACAGTATTAGAAAAACAGACCAAACACAAAAACTTAACATTGAGCAATGAAATGTGAAAATGAGGTCAAGGTCAAATAAAACCTGCCAGACTGACATGTACATCATAAAACATTTCCATACTCCAAATATAGTTGACTTACTGCATACAGTCCTGTTTTATTTCAAAAATACAAACTCATTAGGGTAATTGTTCGAGGAACATTTCACGTTGTAGATACAGTCAGTTGAATGAATTTTAAAAGAGTCAATCTCTCTCACCAGTGACTTTAAACACAAATGCAAGCCTCCTGTCCTTTTTGGTTGCAATTCAAATAAAGCGCAGGGGATGGAAACGAACGCCGGGAATCTGAGAAGTGATGTCGTTGACTTCAACAACTTTTTTTATTTAACCGCACAGCTTATATTTCTTCTTCCCCTTCACTCTCTCTCTCTCTTTTTTTTTTTTATTTAAAAAAAAAATTTTGTTTAATTTTTTTTTTTTTTTATGATATCAAAACGATGTTGAAGCCTTGGCTTCCGACCTTCCGCCTAGCTACGCCACTGCTGGTCCTGAGTCTTTGAGTAATCAATAATGCTAAATGAACAGAAGTGAACTAACTTACGATCTGACTGTTAATGACACCTTTACACTAAATCCATTGGATGTTGGATGTGTACTGATTGATATTTTAGTCTTAGATACATGATTTTTTTTATTAGTTGTTATTGGCTTTGATTTAGCTGTCTGCAGTAACTGTGAGTACTCTCAGATCTGTACTTTTTGTCCTTTTTGTTGTTTGGGATGAGGGATGGATAAATATCCTGCCATGTCCTGTCTGTGTTAAGTGTGTTTATGTTTGATGTTTTTCTGCTTTGTATCAGTCTGATGAGTTAAGTCTTTTTCAACTGCTTTTTATGGTTTGTTCTTATGTTCTGCTGTTACACCACTGTCCCAGGTTAGGGGGAGAGTTGAGCGCTCACAAACATGTTTATCTCCACCACATTCTTCATGTGCCTGTACCAAGTCAGGAACCTTTAGTTCAGTGGTTGTCATTGGTTCATGTCTGTCAATTTTTGTTTTTCATTAATTGGATTGTTTCATATTTTTGATGTCGGGGCCTTTTACAGCCGACTATACGGTATGGGTTTTTCTCATTGTTGAAGGCTGTACAGTTGCCTATAATTGCTTACATCCACTTCATTTGAACTTTGGTGGATAGTGTCATTGGCAATCATACCTCATCTACTAATTTTTATAAATAAGTTCCTTATGTTGTTTGAGCATTTGAAAAAAGCACATTCTTATGTATGTGCTCTTGAGGCAGATAAGTTAGAGATAAAGAAGAGATCCACATGGCAACTTTTTTCAAATTTTGCCAGCATCAATGCAAAGTAAATTTAAGTTGGTGCATTACAGGGGTTAATAAAGAAAGTGGCTTCCTTCACCAATAAAAAAAGACTGCCACTATAAAGCCAATATTGCTGAAAGTGGTGTTTAACAATCAGTCCATTAAATCTTGACCTTTGTTGTGTATTGCTAAAAAGTCGTTGCAACATATTTAATTATTTGTAGCTAAAGGTTTTATACACTGCAAATTAATTCTATTTTTAGATTAGTTGACAGGATGTATAGTCGAGGGAACTCAGGTTTGAGCACCTACAGCAAACCTGAAAAGAAACCAAGTAAGAACCAACGTGTAAAAGTATGGTGTAGAGTACGACCTACAGCTTATTTTGATACAGAACATCTAGAACTTGTCCCAGATGGAAAGGTAAGCTAGACCAGTCTTTTGAAAAACTTATATTTTCTAAATTAGTCTTTAGAATCAATGCAATATACAATGTATATATACAGGTCAACATGAATTGGTAAAACCGTCAGTTTTTTTTGTTTAAAAGAAATAAACATATAAAGTTACTCAATACTTTCAAACATGTATAAAAGGCTTTTATGCAAAATATATTTTCTATAGTTTGATACATTATAGAAGGTGGTAAAGGGTTATTTTCGTGCAACGTGTTTTGCCATTTTTATTTCATGTGCAGCCGTGAAAAAGGTTTGTTATTCACTGTGTTTCGTGAAATCGGTAAAAAGATCAACGTGCAAGAAATTTTTAATTGTTCGTTCATCGTGAAATGGCAATTTTATTTCGCGTTCTTCCGTGCAGATACCCCCCTTTACGCCCCTCTTTGATAAATGATAATTTTTCTTTTTAACTGCATATTCTTTATGTCATTATGTTGGTCACATTTTTAATTGACACATATTATCAACACTGATTCAATGTTTGTTAATTAATGATCTGTATTTTACTTTAATTTATTTTCTTATCCTCTTGTTGATTTCAAAAAAAATTTCTATTTGACAGAGTGTAAATGTACACCAGAAGAAAGAGTCTGCCAAGGGAGTTGTCAATAACCAGATTTTAGACTGGTCCTTTAGACTGGATGGTATCTTTCATAATGCTAGCCAGGATCATGTCTTTGACACAGTGGCTTCAGATATTGTTACATCTGCACTAGATGGTTACAATGGTAAGTATATTTCATTGAATTCAAAGGTCTCTTAATTTCAGTTAAGTTAGAGCTAATTTCCTAATGCTTGTAGATTAAGACTTTGGTTGGCTTGCTTGCTTTATTTGTATAAACGTTTGCTCAAGCATTGTAATTGAGATTGACGTCTGCAAACAATATAAATAGGTGGAGTCAAACCTGTATACATTATATTTAGATTTGATTGGACATTATCAAATAATCAAATTTAACTATATACAGGTTTAACTCCGCCTACTCATATTGTTTACAGATGTCAATCTTAATCACAATGCTTGAGCAAACATTTATACAAACAAAGCAAGCAATACCACATCTTCTTATATCTAAGCCAACCAAAGTCTTAATCTACAAGCATTAGGAAATTCGCTCTAACAGCAGGCTTTACTTAACGGAACATTTACATACATGCACTAGATTCTGAAGGTATTATGATTCTGATTGGTCATTTGGTTCCGTAAAGAACGTCCCTTTTCTAGACATATTCACATTTTACTGGACATTGGCCAGTGTTGAAAGATCAACAGAAAGACCGATACATGTGTTTATGTAAGTCTAGCTTATATCAAAAAAGGAAAAACCTTGCTGATGTTTTTGCTAAACTGTACACTAGGCTCACCAGCTTCTGTAACCTGACTTAAAGATAGTTCTATGACTGGGGATTGACTTGGAAGCTAATTTAAAAAAGATATTAATTTCCTTAGTTATTTAGTCAAGCAGACTTATTTTTTACCCAAAAAACAAACAGAACATGTTTATATAGTTGTGTACAAAATATATAATATGTGTTTTTAGTAACCTTACCCCTTCTTTTTTTTACTCTAAAACCTAAGCACTGTTGAAGAAAAAGGGATATGGGGTAAATGCATATGCAACAAAAATTTCATAAACTATTAAGAAATATATGAAAGACACATGAACAGGGCTTTATTAATGACCAATATTTTTTAGGAACAATGATGTGTTATGGACAGACAGGAGCTGGGAAAACATTCACAATAACTGGTGCTACTGAAAGTTACAAGCAGCGAGGAATTCTGCCCCGATCCATATCACAGCTGTTCAGAGAGATCGAGGAAAGACCTGAATATTCTATCACTGTCAGGTCTGTATGCTAATGAATACATAATGTCTAAAGAAGAGGTTTACAGCTTAAATATAATTTTCTCCAAAATTGTCATTTTTTGTTAAATTTTATCATGAGGTACGTATATATAGAAATAAAAAAGTCAGGTTTCAAGTAAACCAGGATTCTTACAAAGAATTATGCCAAAGACAATCAAAACGTCCATTACAGTGACATCCCCTTAATGTATCACCATATATAAGTTGTTTCATTTAAACAGTATAGAAATGTTTGTTATTATTGATCCAATATATTTGTCCATCTTGCAGCACTGATCTAGCTCATAATTTACACTTCAATATCAGCAATATACATGTGTTACCAAAGGCAAACTTTTTCAAGTATCTATAAATTACACAATCATCTTAATGATAAATGATATACATGCATGTACTATGGTTTTGTGTTCTAGTTTAAACTATCCTTAACTGTGAAATAAAACAAAGATAACTTAAAGAAAGTTGTTTTAAGCCCTAAACCACCTCCTTTCCAGGTTTTAATTTAGTTTCTAATATTTTTGTTCTTAATAGAGTTTCGTACTTGGAAATCTACAATGAGTCTATGGTAGATTTGTTAGCAACACTACCTGAAGCCATTAACCAAGAAAATGGTGGTACAATGTCAGTAGCCGAGAATCAGTATGGAGTCTATGTTAAAGGATTATCTTGTCATCTCACACAGAATGAAGAGGAGGCTCTCAATTACTTGTTTGAGGTGAATATTTATCATTTAAAAAAATTACTTTCATTTACATCAATATTGTGTAAACAATTTTTGTGTGATTCTTTATTATTTTTTAAGCATCAATAGAAAAAGGTATGTCTTTTAATTACTTTCAGTATGACTGTATATTACCAAGAAATTAAAAGAAGAAAATTATTTTTCTTTATAAAATTGTTGCAATAAATACCATGATTTCCCAGTTGAATAAAATCCTATTATTTCTCATGTGAAATAAATCTCATAATTTCTCTCCTCTGACATAGTATAACTTTATATATATAAGCTATGTGTGTTGTCAAAAAATTTGTCGAAAAAATTGCATCAAAATAAATTGAGAATGTGTAGAAACAGATAAAATTCCTTGTAATTTATTTTAATATACTAAATTTCGATTAAAAAAAAAACTTATGGTCAATGTAATAAAAAGAATAACTTAAATCAAACAATTCAAATATCAAAACTCATGCACTATGCACATTCATGAGTTAATGTGTTGTTCGGTCACTTGTTAAATGTTTTCCTACATTCCTATATTTAAATTCTTTGATGTGTTTTTCTATAAATATTGCTAGGGGAGCAGATATAATTTAACTTACTATGTTTTCAGGGAGAGACTAACAGAGCCATTGCAGCCCATTCACTGAATGCACAGTCTTCTAGGTCTCACTGCATATTTACTCTTTATATTGAGGTAAGTTATGTTTCAAAAATCCTTATTTTTTTTTTAGATCCCCCAAAAAATTGTCTGTGTCTTTTCAGGGGCATGCAGCAACTTTTGAAAGGAGGGGGTCTAAATTAGGTTATACATAGAATAGATCTGGATATGCTTCATTCTGAATTGTATGTCGATAGTTATATGACTGAAAGAAGTTTTAAATCCTCTTAGAAGTAGACTTTTTTTATTTGGTGAAATCATTTCAGAACTTTCATTAAAATTTATGATATAATTTTTATTTATTTTATAATTCAGGTTTACTAAGAACTCACTTTTCATTTTATTCTTTTATAGTTCCTAGTAGTTCTTCTAGGGTAAATAATTGGAAAAGTGCATGAAAAAGTATAATATCACCAATTTAGAAAATAGTTGAATAAATTTGTTTAGAGTGATTTCCCTTGTTTTTGCACAGTTTACAAAAATAATTAAGAATTGTTTCAGTTCTCAATATTGATCATAATATTAATTATAAACATTTTCTGTAATAATTCTAAAATGCTGGCAAGGTCATTATTAATTATATGAAAATGATAAATAAAAAATTGTAAGCGTCCTGTAAAATTGATAGTTTGTATAGTGTTTAGGTAAGAAGTATTATAGTTCTGTTTTACACTCGCTAGATTGACGGACAATAGTATACCATAATATATAGCCGCGCTGAGCGCATGATACGCCTATATATTAATATTTGAAGGCTACAAAGTAGCTAACTTTAATTAAACGATTGCACACACAGTTCAAAATTTTTATTTAGAAACTTTACTAGCATTTTGCGTCAGTTTTACAATAGTTAAGAATTTTGTCACATTTTTAACTGTTACATTTTCTGTAAACTTGGTACACATAAATGTCTTGTCCTTGCAAGGTTTCCTTTTTCTAAATCACAAAAATGTAGATTGCTTTGTTGCATAACAATTTTTAACTTCTTGAGTGTAAAAATTTAAAATCCATACATCTGTTTTTATGCCCCACCTACGACAGTCTGTCCCGCTTCAGGTAAAAGTTTTTGGTCGCTTCAGGTTAAAGTTTTTGGTCAAGGTAGTTTTTGATGAAGTTGAAGTCCAATCAGCTTGAAACTTAGTACACATGTTCCCTATGATATGATCTTTCTAATTTTAACATATAAGAGTTTTAATCTCAATTTCACAGTCCACTGAACATATAGAAAATGATAGTGTGAGTGGGGCATCTGTGTACTTATTATGGACACATTCTTGATTTACACATATTTTATACCTTTGTGTATATTGAATATAGTTTAAAGTCAAGGTCTAAGAAATAAATGCTTTTGGTACCTTTCAATACATTAATGTCTTTAATGTCTGTACTTTTCTGAGGGTCTGGATTTTGTTTATAGAATGGATTGATTGTTGGTGTTTTAACGTCACTTTTAAGCGCCACTTTTGGGCTATTTCGTGGCGGCCAGTTTTTAATGGTGGAGGAAGCCAGGGTGCCCGGAAAAACCACGGACCTTGGATAGGAAAACTGACAATCCTAGTCAATTAAGATTGGAGTCGAGTGCACCCGCACGAGTGTGGTTCGAACTAACACCCTCAGTGTTGACTGGCTAGTGATTACAGTAGTAACTACTTAGACCACTGGGCCACCTAGGCCCCTTTATAGAATGGAGAATAATGGGCCAAAAATAAAGAATAGAAATAAATTGACTAAAATTAAAGAATACAGAAATGAACATTCCCCATTTAGACCCTTTTTCTAACCAACTGATTTCTTCTGTATAGTAGTTTAATAACACATAGCAGCACATTTTGAATTGTTTAATTTATGGACATTTTATTTTTATTTACAGACAAGATCAAGAGTGCAGTCTAATGCTAGATATACAGTTTCTAAATTGAATTTTGTTGATTTAGCTGGATCTGAAAGATTGAGTAAAACTAAGGTTTGTTGAAATGTCTCTCATTAATTAAGATATAATTGAAATGATTTATTTTTATGAAAAAAAATGCTGTATATATTTACTTATAATTGTTCAAGATTTGTGTTACAATATTTTAGTTTTGTAGTTTGTTACATTGCTTTATTTACTTGTTCATAAATTAAGCAGACTTTGTTTAAAATTTAAGGATGTTCGCTCCTCTTGTGTTTAAATTTTTGCCAGATATTCGGAATCCTCTGGTTTTATCTATGTAGTGCCATTAAAAAAAATTCCCACTAACCCCTAGTTTTCTTTCCATAATTTGATAACATATAGTTTAAAATGCCATCTTTGAAAATCTTATAAAATCCTTGTTATTTTTTCCTCGTTTTGAAAGAAAAAAGGTGCCAATGTTAAATGTAAGAATTTGTAGAGAGAATTATTATCTGCCAAATTTTCAATGGCTTATATCTTGAAAACAAGCACACAGACCCTTAATTTTTTTCTGCTTTTTTAGTTTCTTTATTTATATGCTATCAATTTATAACAGTCTTTTAAAAAGCTTGTTATTTTGAGTAGCGAACATCCTTAATATTGTAAATACTTCAATGGTTTGATGACCAATGACAAATTTATAAAGTTTCTTCATGATGTGCAGTTTTCAAACAGCTTCCATGGTTACATTTAAAACATATCTATGTGACTATTTGCTCATTGAAATAGTTGCAAATAAAAAGACCATTAGACAAAGAAACTAGAAAAAGAGAGATATATTAAAAATATATTGGAATTAAAAGTAAGAGCAAATTTTTCTTCAAATCATTTTGCAGGTTGAAGAAGAAGAATATTTTATACCATCTCCGGGCCCTGAAGGACATAAATGTTTGACAATTTTTTTATAATAACATCAATAATTTGAGATTAAAACAAAAAGCATTAGATAAATCACGATGTATCTAGAAATTTCTTCAGCGTATATTTAAGCATATAAATTTAATGTCATTATTGTTTTTCAGTCTGATGGAAAAACACAACAAGAGGCAATGTACATAAATAAATCATTGACATTTTTGGAACAAGTCATTGTAGCATTAGCAGATCGGCGTAGAGAACATATTCCTTTTCGCCAGTCAAAATTAACACATTGTCTCAAAGATTCTATTGGTGGAAATTGTAATACACTCCTGATAGCTAATATATGGGGAGAAAAACAACAATTAGAGGAATCAGTAAGTAGAAACTTAACGATCCTTTTATCTTTTATGGAACCTCTTGACTGCAACCTGAATAATTCCATCCCTCCATGTGAACGACTCTCCTACTTGTGAGGGCCTGAAAACTTTATGCTATAAAACACATCACCAATCAAGGATTTTAGTTATACATGAACTGACAAAAATCCTTAATTTATCAAGTTTCTACACAACCTTATTTGAAAAAAGTGTTGATTAACATGGTTAATCTAGTTAAGAGATATTCTTTCTACTTTGAAAAACAAAAAAAATATGCATAAAATGATAAAAAAAAATTTATTTATAGTTAGAACTTTCTTATTAAATGACAAGAATGATACAGAAAAAGGATTAAAGGAAGCACAAAAAATACTGGACAGTACAACAGACCAAAATAAGGGCTATTCCATTAAAATGTATGTGGGAGGGTAGGAAGGGACTTTCAAAATATCCCTACAACCAAGAACCATTTTTTCGATAATTTTGCATAGTGGTAATAGATGCATACTTAAAAAAGACCCATGACCTACATTCAATAATTAAACTTCCCTTCCTACCCTCCCACATACATTTTAATGGAATAGCCCTAACAGACATACAAACAACAATGAACAACACAAGGTCCAGATAGCCGGACTTGGAACAGGCACAAAATGTGGTGGGGCTAAACCAGTTCTACGGGGTCACAAACTTCTCCCCTTTACCTATGTAAACAGTATGCCATACAAATTATAACACATAATGAAAAATGTGCAAAATGCTGCTACCAACAGGAAGACCACTAACTTTAGCCAAGAAATAAATAAGAAGTATTTTTCAGGTATCAACATTGCGTTTTGCTACCAGAATGATGTGTGTTGCCAGTGAACCCTCGATGAATGAAATTATAGATCCTGTGGTGAGTTGATTTTAAATGAAATTTTAATATCTGAAACTATTATAAATGTGGCATCAACTATGGTGTAGTCATTGCAAAGGAATAAAACTCGTACATGAGGGTCTGGATTGGGTTTACAGAATAGTTTGTGGGCAAAAAGTTAAAGAATAGAGTAAAATTAGCCATGAAATTAGAAATAGAGAATAATGGTTTTAAATTTTAATGATTAGAGAATAATGGGCCAACAAAATTTTCAAAAGGAAAAAAAATGGCCTAAAAAATAAAGAATTGAAGCCCTCCCATCTTAACCCTCATGCACCAACATTTATGTATAAAATGTACAGAAGAATCATTGAAACTATAGAGGATGTCTTAAAAAGTAATGTCCTTATAATTGTTGTCGTTTTGGTTTTCTCCATGCTCTTCTCATATCATTAGAGTTTTTAGAGAATGGACAATTTAATGCTTATTGTTTTTGTTTGTTTGTTTAAACAATCTGAGAAACAGTATTTTTGTTCAATTCACCATTTCATAATGTACCAAAGAATGAAAATAACACTACATCATTATTAGAATTTTGAAATATTTTTATCGGGCCAAATCTCTGTCAGCTTGAGCTGTAATTTTTTTGGGATTACATGTATTTTTATTAAAAACATATGAGGGGGAAAAATTTAGCACTAAAAGTCTTCTATTTCACAATTATGAAAAGTAATGTTCGCTATCTAAGATTTTAAAATTAATTACTACCATAAACAGTACTGTTTAAGCCCTTTTGGAGGAGAAGCTATCATTTAGTTGCAAACGCTATGATTTCTGTAATACAAAGAGTAGTAATATAATAACTTTATATTTACAAATTATATAATTTCAGGTACAATGCAAAAGGTTAGAAAAAGAAATCCAGCATTTAAAACATGAGTTAGCCATGCATGATACTTTGGTAAGTAGACACTGGTGTGCTAGAATTACACGATTGGCCCCATCTTCATTCATGTCAGAAGGACTTGGTTGTATAGTTGAATGCACCAAGAATCACCATAAACTTGGTCTCAGATTTTTATTTGACATTTGGACCTCAGCCGTTAATAAACTAGTATTAAAAAGTTTTCTTACTTGATTTCTTATACATCTATCTATGATTCTAAAGATTTTATTTTTCTGGATATTTTGTCTTGATTTCCTTAAGTCCTTTCTGAACAGTATCTGTTTAAACCCCTAAAAATGTTAAAAAAAAACTGTTTAGAATTATTTTATTTGATTGTTTGATTCAGATCTTTTTCTTAATGTGCCAACAAAACTTAGTTGGAATTAATTTATATGAAGATATTTTACATGATGAAACCAATAGTACAGAAATGAAAATAAGAAATTAAATCATAATTTGAATTTCAGAATACACTTGCAGACAATGAGGTAGTTTACACTCACTGTGATATAAAAAAAAATGTATCGCATTGAAAATATCAATGTTATTGAAGAAAATCACTTGTATTTTTTTTTAGATGTGTATATTTTGTTTTGTCAATCAAATATCACAATGCATGCAAATATGCAATTATATGTCTTGTACATGTACAGTTCATACATCCATAATTAAACAGAATCACAATTATGTATATTTACTTGACATTTGTCCCCCCCCCCCCACCCCACTCTACTAGGTCAAACTTCCTAACATTATTAAATGGTAAATTACCTATAATGGTATTATTTCAGTGGAATTGGGTAGTATTAGAATTACTGTTGAAGGAACAATCTTTTAAGTCATAAGTCTTGGTTCTCAACCTGATTTATATTTTTTGGAATAAGGCAAGGTGGCATGGCTTTTTTTCCTCTCTATTCTCAGCCATAAGTATTATTTGTAAATCTAATATTCTCAAAATTTATAAATGACTTATTTTCATATATTTTATGTCTACCAAAATGTGCAATGAGAAATGAAAAAAAATAATAATAAAAATTGTATTGTGATGGTAAATTTTTACTAACACTTTGTACATGTGTTGCACATAGACTTACCTGTAATTCAGTGCATGGGGTTGTCCTTGGAACTTGTCTGTCATTTTTAAAAAAAAATTCTATCAAAAATTAGCCATTGGTTTTCTGGTTTTCATAATGTGACCTATAGTTGCCAATGCAGCCATGTCATTTTGAATCTGTTGGATATTTGTCTCATTGACAATCATACCACATTTCCTTATTTTTCTTTTTTTTGCCAACAGTCAAATAATGCACCTTTGTAATTAGCATGTTTTGTGTCCAGTTTGACAAGCAAGTTGACCACATTATTATATTTGGCATTTGAATTAGAAATGTTTTGAAGTGTCATGTTGCATGATTATTGTTCAATCACAGGAATTATTTTGATTGGCCTATTTCCCTGAATACAAAATAAAAAAAAAGATTTATTTATGTTTTTTATATTACAAACAATTTTTTCTTAAAATTTTAATTTAACAATGAGGGAATCTCCATTTCCAAACAATAAGTTTTTTTTATAATTAAAAAAGATTTTTAATACAAATTGATGTACTGAAATATTTTTTTGAACAGGGTAATGTATTGTTTTAAATTGTATTGAATAGTCTTATCTTCAGGAAATTTGTACAATATGCTAATTATGTATTTTTCAAGTTGAAATTAAAAAAAAAAATTGGATCATTACTATAATTGCCAACACATTATATCAGGGATGGGAAAACACAAATTAAACTGTGGTAAGGTAGAATTCAAGAACCATAGTCTGACATGATAGAAATTATACTTAACAAAAATATTTTATAAGGGTAAAGACATAAGTCTTAAAATATTTGGCACTTTCAGGTCAACCATTTTCATGAAATATATCAAAAAGTCTTAAAATATTTGGCACTTTCGGGTCAACCATTTTCATGAAATATATCAAAGTTCCTAAGTTACACTGATTATTTGTTACTTCTGTTTCAAATGAGTGCTGAAAAAGCATTGATGAAACTGACTATTACAAATACATTACTAACTTAAAGAGTTATCTCCCTTAATGTCATACTAAAACTATGTAATTTGATTATTTTCAGACAAACAGAAGCCACATAACCTATGATACTTTATCAGAACAACAGCGATACGAGATCAGACAACAAGTTAGACGATATTTAGAAGGACATTTAGATGAAATAGATGTGAGTTGTCTCCCTTGATGCTGTAATACATTTATGTTGCCTTTAAAAACAAGAAGCGACATTATTTTTAATTGTTCTGGAGAATCAGCAGTCGACACTGTTTCTACATTGATTTTTGAAGAAAGTCTCGAAGGCAAGACATAGTAATCCTAGATTGAGTCTGGTCGTTAATATTAAGGATAAGTCTTGCCAACATTTAGGTTCAGTCTGAGATCAAATAAATACATTGCAATAAAACATTGATAATACTGACATCAACGAAAGCAAGGAAGACAAAGGGCTCTGCTGAACCCATTACAATTTTTTTTTATGACAAAGAATGTGAAGAAAGAAATTGTTATTTTAAATGCAATTAAAAAGGGCCCAAAGAAAGAGGAAACTGAGTTGCATCCAACAAGTTTTAAAGTGGCCTATAATGTTTAAATGCAACTTATACAATTTAGGGAAGAAGGATTTAATGAGAGGATGACATTTTTCAGTGTTCACATATTTTCCCATTTATCTGCAACTTCTCCCTGTTGATTTTAAGTCAAAGGGATTTGTTAATCCCTTTATGCAAAATTCTTGAAGAGACATAACACTTAAATGTCAACTGTATAATGTTTGATGTGATAGCTAGCTATAGACTTGAGGATCAGCTCTTAGACTGTCACAATGAGATTGTATTTTATTGTCTATATAGATTGCATTTATTTTATTCTAGTTGAAACCTCATTATATTACGGTTTAAAACTTTAATTAATTTTTCTTTGTAGCCTATAAATTTAGAACACTGTCAACACAAGTTTTAATTTATTTATTCATTTTCTCTTGTAGATTATAAATTTAAGACAGGTGCAAGGAGTGTTTGATTCGTTTAAAGATATTTATGTGTAAGTTATATTGAATTTGAATCAGGAATGTTTCTTAGTTTGATAGAATATTTAATATGGTATTGATAAAAAGAATTCTGCATTTAATGAATGTACTTTGAAGATGTACTGCCTAGCCCTTATTGGGTTCAATTCTGTTATGTTGTAACATATAAAATGAAATAATTTCAATCTGAAACAAAAAGTACATATACAACCAACCATCAATGCCACCTTTTGCAGATACAAAAAATGTACATTCATATTGTGGTGTACTATTTTACTGTTTTGTGGTAATTACAGTTGTCAATAATTTAATTATGAAAACACATATGATCTTTTTATGTATTAAGCATGGAAATAAGCACTACCTAGATGATTTTACCTTAAGGGCATAAGATACAGTGTTGATCCGACAGTGATTTTTTCACGAAGATTTGCAAACAAGCTATTTTTCACTTAGTTAATTCAAATATTTAATAAAAAATATACCTTCATGTGCTAAATTTAGAGATAAATGGGGTAGAAATTTTAGACATTTACTTAAAATTTCAGTTTATTGTACATTTCTATTCTTTGGACAGACATACTTAACTTTTTTGTTTCAAAAGATAAACACATGTGGATTTTTGAAAAATGATTTGAAATATCATCTTTACAAAAGTATGCTCTTAATTTGTGTAACAATTCTTTAAAAATGATTTATTTTTATTGAAATTTCATGATTTAAGTAAAAATGGCATTTTTTGCTGCATATTTAACTAATTTTAAAAAAATTCATCGGTGATTTTTCATAAAATTTGAACACACAATCTTCATACAGTATCAAGTCATTTGTCATTTTAAAAGAGAGGGGTCCATGAACTCGTTTTCAAGCTAATGATTAAAATCCCTCAAAAAATGCATCTTTTCCCCGATATGTTGCAGTTTGACGTCGCAAAAAACAACATATTACATTAGCAACGTCTTTACCTCCCCCCTGTAACTGTATCATATGCCCATAAACTTTTAAAATATTGATTTAGGGACCTTCTCTGCAAATTAATCGATCTTTTATGTGAAAAGTCATATTTACACAGGGATTATAGCAATTTTGTTTCTTTTATCAAGTGTCGAAACAGATTTTAATCAATGAATATAAGAACTTTGATTTCTATTAAATCATTCATTTAAGAGCACATTTTTTCCCATGTACATGTATAACACACTTAGAATTATAACTAATTTAGGGCTATTCTATTAATATGCATGTGGGAGGGTAGGAAGGGAAGTTTAATTATTGAATGTGGGTCATGGGTCTTTTTTCAGTATGTGTCTATTACCATTATGCAAAATTATCTAAAAAATGGTTTTTGGTTGTAGGGATATTTTGAAAGTCCCTTCCTACCCTCCCACATACATTTTAATGGAATAGCCCTTAGTTTCTCTCGTTGGTGTTTTCAATATTTCAGAGTTTTTACTCTATAAGCTTTTGTTAAACATGATTGTTTATACTATAACAGACAAATGGAGAAAGATGTTGAAGAACGATTACGTCAGAAATTTACATTGATTGACAGAACAGACCCAGCAGCTATTGCAGCAGCACAACAGGTTTGTTTTTTATGGTTTATATTATTTGCAGATGGTGTTAAATATCAACCCTTTCAGAATCTAAAGGACTATGGGTAATTTCATTGTTTGTACGCCAAAATGTCTATTGATAATGATAATGTCTCATCACTGTTTGAATTTCTATTGTTTAGGACGTTTTTAACCAATGACAGTGTTTTGATGTTTTTTTTAAAAAAACATTACCCAGAATGCATTAGATTCTGAAACAGTAAATACAAATTATATCAGATGTGACAAAAAGAAATTTTATTAGGAGACCGCCATGTTTGTTTACTTCTTTGCTCACTTTGTTAGTGTACTGCTTCCTTTTTTACTTTTTACTGTGATTTCATTATTTTATGGGTACTGATTTAAATTAATGACTTTTACAAATCTTATCTAAAAATTTAAGTTTCAGAAACTTCTTAAAGGTTCAATTTGTGAAAAAAACACTCAGCAAAGCCTATCTCCATAAAAAAGAATTTGCTTATAAATATTGACTTTATCTTATAACGTATAATATTGCTATATAAGAAATTAGGTAATGACCTCAGACTTTGTAGTTATTGGTTGAAATGCTTTTCTCTAATATCTGTTGTTTTTATGTATTTTAATAGTCTGGTCTGCCAGTCACAGATGATGGTCTTCTGGTTGGAGAGACTGATGGGGTAGGTTTTGGAGTAGGAATGGCTCCTAAATCTGCTAAAGCAGACCCATCATCTGTCGTACAACTCAAGAGGAAAGAAAAAGAAAAAGAGACAAAGAGAGGAAAATTATCAAGACAAGATACAAAAAGGTTTGTTTAGAAATCATTCAAAAAGAAGAATGACAAAGGTTTAAAATTTTAAAATTTAAAAATTTGTGTTTTCATTTATTGTTGGGATTTTTTAACAAAAAACAGAAGTGTATTATCAATTATTGCAATTGTAGGAAATGTTTTGTACATATATATTTCATGTGCAGATTTTTCAAAATCTAGGGCAAATACTGTAAACCAACTAATTTTCGCGAGCGATTTATTTCCACGACTTTCTCGAGTAGTAAAATAATGCGAACATAAATCGTCGTGAATATGTAAAACTTGGAAGTTTCCTTATTTAACTGCATCAATCAAATTTGAAAATCGTGGGCTACTAAGGACTAAACATGAAATAAGTATCAGCGAAAATAAGTTGGTTTACAGTATATGAATTTAAACTCAAGAGGACATGCTACTTTTTAGTATTTTATAAAATATGTAAGAGTTGAGAGTATAGTTAGAAAGTATAGCACATGTCTAGTGGCAACTATTACAAATCTGTACATCCTATACAAACAAATGAATGTATCCTTAGCTTGTAGTGTTTGTTTTCAAATAACTTAATGACTAAATAACAGTGAGCATGCAGTCACAAATTTTAGGCAATATTGGAACATTAAAAAAAGTATATACATGTTTTCATTTCTGTGAGCTTTTAATAATTTTTGTGATATTTTTTTACAGTCCAACAGGGGGTAAGAGTGTTAGTAGTCCTTCACACAGTGCTAAAGGAGAGAGGGAGGTGAAGTCACCACACCCTTCAGTGGACAGGACCAGGGAGGAGGATGCTGCCACACCAGCTAGTTCATTAGGTGGTCCCAAAACAGACAGAACAGCCAGAGCTAGGTGAGAGATAGTTTATTATGCCCCACCATATGTGCATCTACCTGATATTAAATAGTTGTTTGGATTATTCCATTATGCCTGCAGATATTAATTAGATATTTATATGATATTCATATAAAAATAAATACATGTGGTATGAATGCCAATGAGACAACTCTTCACCAGAGACTAAATGACATAGAAGTTAATAACTATAGGTCACAGACTGAGGTTGTGAGTTCGAACCCCGCTCGTGCGGGTGCACTTGACTAGGATTGTCAGTTTTCCTATCGAATATCGGTGGTTTTCTCCGGGCACTCCGGCTTCCTACACCAATAAAAACTGACCGCCACGAAATAGCCCAAAAGCGGTGCTTAAAAGTGGCGTTAAAACACCAAAAAATCAAATCAAATCTATAAGTCACAGTATGGCCTTCAACAATGAGCAAAGCCCATACTGCATAGTAAGCTATAGAAGACCCCCAAATGACAAATACATTGTACTTTAGTGTATAATGATGAATTAAAGAATCAAAAATTGTAAAATTGGTATTTCTGCTGCTCAACTGAACATGCAACAAGGAGTAGGCTTCTTTGACTCAGTCAAAGTAGGAATATTTGCAGTGGTAAGGAATAACCTGTATTCCTTGAGACTATTTCTTTGACACATAACATGTAAAAAATCCAACTCAATGTTTTGGTCAAGTTCAAAGTAGGGGTAGATTAATAAAAAGATAGTAGATTCTCACAACAATAAGAACGCAAGAATAAAGATATTTTGACAATATTTTCCATTTATAGTTAATTTCTAACATGAAATTGATTTAGTTCGCACTATAAAAGAACAACTAAATCAACTGATGTATTTTTATTTCAGTACACCACCAAGTAGAACTACAGCTTTTGACATATTCAAGTCAGAGAAAGGAACAGAATTGAACAGAATCTTAGTTGAAAATAAGGACATTTTAGCATCAAATAAGAAAACATATACTGACCTAGCACGAGGAATAAATCACAACAAAATAGAAATAGATCAATGCAGAATGAAATTAGAAAAATTAAAAGAAGAGAGAGAATCTAATGGTATGATTTTTTTAATTTTAATGATTTTTCCTTAAAACATTATTCAGTTGACACTCTTTGTCTCAAATTAGGCTGACTAGATATCCACAGGAGTCGATATAAAAAAGCAGGACATTGAAACACAGTATCTTATATAAAGTACATCTTTTGAGAAGAATTTCTACCAGTCAAAATTTCAGGTGACTCTTACTAATTCTAAGCTCTGAAGGTATAATAAACAACTTTTGTTCTTTAAGCGTTTCTCACCTGTCAAAAATCTCAACAGGGAATAAATGTTTTCAACAGGCGACCAGACAATTAACATGTACCTTAAGTCAGTGATCAATAAATTATTAGTACAACACTTTATTATTAGATAGTTAGACAGCCTTCAGGAGCATTTATTATATGATAATTGAAAAGTAAATCACTAATTGTATTATTTTTATATTTCTATATTTCAATTATAGGTACACAATATAATGAAGAGGGAGATATAATTATAAGTGAAGAAGAATTCCTTGAAGTGAAGAGATTGAAAGAACTGAAATCTAAATACAAAACTGACTACGACAACCTGAAAAATCTTAAAGCAAAGGTTCAGTACTGCCAAAGACTGGTTGACAACTGTAGGCAAAAACTTATACAAGGTAAGAACAACTTAGCAAAGTTATTACAAGTAAGTCAACAAAGGCAAATCATCCTACTTATTGACTTTTAGAATTTAATTCCCTGAAATGACAATTTAGCAACTTCATAACAAGAAAATGCATATAAACCATCTGTTGACAAAACAAATACTGTAAATTCAGAAATTATAAAAAAAAATAAAATATCACATTTTTAATAATTATAGAATTTTTTTCAATGCAGCATTTCCTGAAATCTCTATAGTTCAACTTGCATTTGTGTCAATCTTTCAACAATCACAATAATTTCTGAATTTACAATAAATGTAAAGTTTAAAGTTTTATTTTGTTAATTTCAATAAAACCTAAGACCCTGTTTCTACTAATACATTTGAATTAATTGTGGACTCGTTTTAGAACTAAACTTTTAGTAAATCTGCTTTAACATGTGAATGATTTAAATAGTTTTTTTAGGGCACAAATAATCTTATTTTTTTCTAAATAAAAATAAAAAAAGTACATTACTTATAATATTTCTGGGAAATAAAACTTTTGTCAAATATGCTCAAGGCAAACATGCCAAACTAAATTTCAACAGTAAAATACAGAATTCACCTTCTCAATCATTTAAATAATGTTACTGTGGATTCATTATTATTCATGGATTACTGATTATAGTGAATTTCTTTGGTATATACCTGAACCATCAATCCAAATATTTAAAGAAACTTTCATATTTTTTTTATTTCCCAGTCTTCTTTGTATGCTAATGATGAAGTAAAATATGTTCTTTCTTTTCTTTTCACTTTAGAATTTGATAAATGGTATTCAGAAAGCTTTTTGAGTCAAACAGAGGATGGCACCACCACAACCAGTATGGCTGCTGGCCATGGTATCAGACCTGGTGTGTTACCTCCCTTTAATCCAAACACAGTTGTAAGTTTAAATAGTTACCTCCCTTTAATGTATACAGTTGTAAGCGGATATAGTTCTTTGTTCAAAATGTTCATCTTCCATTATAGTTTTTTTTTTATTTATGCTATATCTATTAGGGGTGAAAAGTGTAGTTATAACTGTAACTGATAAATTGATTGATTAAGAAATGAGAAATTATTTTCAGTAATGGATAAAACTCTTACTTAAATTACGTCAATCAAAAACATATTTATTGCAGTTGTTTCAGTTTTTATTGGGTTTTTTTGGGTGACTTTTTGAAGTCAACAAAACCTTAATTCTATTGAGCAATTATATTGATTATAACAACAACCAGTTTCATAAAAAAATCTTGCTAATATAGAATATTGTGTTTATTGCACATTGATACAAAATATATCAGCCACGAGCTGCAGTGTGAACCTATTTGGCCGGTGAGTGAAGGGAAAGAATTAAAAAGATTCACATTTTGTAGGAGAGTGGCTGATATTAAACAATATCTACACACAGAAAACCCAATAATTAGTTTATCGTAATATTTCTGGTCTCCCCCTAGACAGTTTCAAGCATGGTTTCCCTGATGAAAGTAAACTTGATAGGGTCTGTTCTCATATTTTGATGTTGCTTAGTACTTCTCCTCACATATTGATACCAAAATTACAGAAAGAGCAAGATGATTTAGTCACATGAACTTACAGAAATGATAAATATTGAATTAACATCTTGCAAGCATTTTATTAGCAGATTAATTTCAGATGCTTAAGTATAACATTCAGTTAAACAGAAAAAAAACAAAACTTTTGTGTTCATTTTTGTTTGTTTTAATGTTACATCCTGAAGATGAACAGAATTTAATGTTTGTGTTCATGTTTGTTTGTATTTATGTTACAGCCTGAAGATGAACAGAATTAAATGTTTGTGTTCATGTTTGTTTGTATTTATGTTACAGCCTGAAGATGAACAGAATTAAATGTTTGTGTTCATGTTTGTTTGTATTTATGTTACAGCCTGAAGATGAACAGAATTAAATGTTAGTGTTTATGTTTGTTTGTATTTATGTTACAGACTGAAGATGAACCGACTTAAAAGTTTGTGTTCATGTTTATTTGTATTTATGTTACAGCCTGAAGATGAACAGAATTAAATGTTAGTGTTCATGTTTGTTTGTATTTATGTTACAGCCTGAAGATGAACCGACTTAAATGTTTGTGTTCATGTTTATTTGTATTTATGTTACAGCCTGAAGATGAACAAGAAAAGTTTGATAGATTACAGATGGAACTGTTGATGAACAATCCTGATTCAGCTGCCTTCTTTAATGCTCAACACAGAACACAGAGACGGGTTGGTATTTTCTTGCCTAGGCTACAAAAGTATATGGCTGAATTATTTCTGGTCTGTCTGTTCATCTGTCCGACCATCTATCCATAATCAGGATCAAGTTTTGGTTTTACCTAGTCATATCAACTTGAAACTTAGAACTAATGTTTATTATGAAAGAACTGTTAAACATATATGGTTCCTCTAAAACCTTGAAATGTAATTTTCAAACAAGCATGATGTATGGTGGACACATATTCTTGTTTTAGAGTTTATGTTACCGGTAAAATCAGTTTAAGCATATCTGTTGATGTTTTTCTATGGGGTTGCTCATTTTTTGTTTAGTGTTTTGGGGACTTCATATTTGTCTGATATTCTGTTTTTTTATTCTTAAGTCATTTGCATTGTCTATCCTACATTGACTCTCAATTTTTGATCGCTACCTAGTATGTTTTTTTGCTAAATTTGCCATGACAAAAAGATTAAATAATTATCTAAATAAATCTTTCACCTCAATAAGATGGTTTAAAAAAAACAACATTTGTTAGATAAATAATCCAACCTTGTCGAGATTTTCTAAGTGTAACCATAAAGTATTGAAAATCAAAATTATCAGAAATTAAATTTTTTTTTTATTTTTACAGAAAACATATGAAGCAGCCATGATGCAACCACAACCATCTTACAGAAGGTCACCAGGAACACCTACAATTTCAATCAGGAATCGTCCTCCAAACATGTTACAAATAAGTCAGTGAACAGAATGTAAAAGACGTTTTGATTGGATGATAGACTGATAGTGTCGTCTGCTGAAAACAATCATTTGCATATTTTAAATATCAATATATCTATACTTTCTATTGATTTTACCATCTTTGCTAAAAGAAAGAAAAGATGTCAAAATGTTTAAAAATAAGCAAATTTTTAAAATGTAGAAATGTATGAATGTTTATTTTTACTGCAAAAATATAAGAATAATTATGATTGTAAAGTTACTGTAAAAGTATATTTCAAAATGGAGTTCTTGCTAAAAAAGAAAGTGCAGAGGAGCGTAACTTTGTCTTGAGATATAACTTGATAAACAGTTCTGACAAGGCTTTGCAGTATTGATATAAATTTCTTATTGATGTGTGACATAAAAAAAATATCACATTCATTTTTATCAATAGATTTTAGTTGCACAAAGTTTAGCAACATTGAATAAATATTTCTGTTATTATATTTAAAGATGAATGCCTTGAGTATTAATGATAATATTGTTGTTGTAATGTTCTTTTTTCTCAAAGGGAGGTAATATGTTTTGTTTTAGGTATCTGTATTATTTCATTTAAGGTCATATTTTCAATGGCTTATAGGATAACTCATTTTACAATTAAACGTTGTACTGGTCTTTTAGAAATTTTCACAGGATTTAATCATTTTATTGAATTGATTGTATATTTGCGTCTGGTATATTGAATTATAAGGCTTGTATCTCTAAAGAATTTTTACTTCAGGATGATTTCTTATCAGGAAGGAGCATGTTTATTTTTTATTGATTATTTCATCAATGAAGATTTTCACATAAGGAAAACAGTGCTATGGAAAGAGTCATTTCACAAGATTAATTCAAAGTCTAAATATGACCTAGATTCCAAAGATAAGGCTGTGATAAGCTGCTTTTATTATTTTTCATTTTAAAAAACATTCTTAATTTTGTATTTTTATTATAATCAATTTTGCTGTGTGAAAATGATTTAGAATACATTTGAAAAAGAATAGTTGCATCCGAATTGATTAGAAAATTCTAAAAAATATATATTTTCTTTTCTCTGTTGTCAGGTTTAATTTACTTTTAATCTGATTATTTTTATAACTAGCATGGACTGTCCATATGATCTCAGTTAATCTGAGATTTAAGTGTACGTAATACTGATGTAATTTTTCAGTTAGCTATGCTTATTGATGTTGTAAGATGGCACATTATTGAAAAAAAATGTCAGTTGGTCTGTATATTAACTGAAAATATCACAAATATAGATTCTATCATTACACAAACTTTTTTTTTACAAGAATGAAAAAATTATCTTTATTTATTTTATATACATGTCTGTATATTTCCTGTTGATGTTGGACACAGTATTTTGTGGTTGTGATAAATTTATGGAGGTTTATGTCCAAAAAACTATTTTAGTTTATAAATAAATTATTAATATATTTACTTTGTTATATATATCAGCCCATAGATATAACAGAATATGTCAGTTTGACCACATATAAGTTCCAATTGTTGTAACCACAACCCAGTCTTCTCCTAAAATTGTGTCATCATCTAAAGAATAATGAGATGCTTTTTGCCAATTTAAATTTCCATAAGCAACATGATTGGTGGCAGTAATGGAGCAGGATTAAATTAGCCTTCAAAGGAGCCTGAGATTATCCCCAGTTTTTGATGGGGTTAGTATTGCTCAGTTTTTCATGTCGTTTTATGACGTTGACTTGTTTGTCTTTGATATTATGCCATTTCGTTGTCAGCTTCTCTTAAAGTTATGAATATGCCCTTGGTATCTTTTGCCTCTGTTTATGCCCCACATATGTGCATTATGTTTTTTTTTTGTCTGTGCGTTTGTTCATTTGTCTGTCTGTCCTTCTTCAGGTTAAAGTTTTTGATGAAGCTGAAGTCCAATTAACCTGACATTTAGTACACATATTCCCTATGATGTGATCTTTCTAATTTTAATGCCAAAGTAGAGTTTTGATCCCAATTCCATGGTCCACTTAACATAGAAAATGAAAGTGCGAGTGGGGCATCCATGTACTATGGACACATTCTTGTTTATCTTTACAAGTAACAAGTCATGAGCTCGATACAGTTATGGATAACTTGTTTGACCAAAGAACCAATGAGTTCAGGTATTGTCGTCTCTCTTAGTAAAAAATTCACCAAATTCTATGTTCCATTTTGCCAATTTAATAGAAACCAGACCGGGAAAAATTGGTCCATTACTAATCCACATTAGTCCTCTTTCAAAGGATCATGAAAAGTTTTTTTTTTAAATATTATTTATTGTAACCAAAAAGACGTTTAAATTGTGCCACATAATAATCCTCTCGTGTATGCAATAGATAATTGTGTTGGGCACGTGATTGTATCAAAAGGAGTTAAATTATTACACAAAACTGACTATGATCGACCATGTTTAAGAGAATTGGAACTTTAGTTTGACCATAAATATTTGAAAAAATCAAAACAGCATTTCATGGTTGAGTTTTTAGTGGTAGTATGGTACTGTTTCCTATAACAGTTCACAGTAAACCGTACACACAAGAGGATTCAGTTAAAAATCACTCGTAGTAACATTGTACCATAATTAAGGGTAGTATAAAACTATGATTTATGATCCTAACTGTCATATTATCTATGGAATATACAAATATATACATACAAGGCTGGTATGGACGAGTGGACTGCATCTAGGCATGAGATCTATGCAGTTTTTGTCTCGCCTTGACAGAGTCAAAAAGTGAGACATAGGTATGCTGTTTACTGCAGCGTTGTCGTCATCAACAATGTATTAGTTTGTGATTAGGTCTAGTTTATGGTGAACCACAAGTAGTAGGTCAATCATATTTAGTATGCAGTTGTATTAGCATTGACACATCTCATTTCCATGGAGATTATTTGGCCCTGCCCCCTCAATCATGGTCTATTGACTTTGACACTTTTGTTTATTTTACGTGTATTAGTTAGTGATAAGGTCAGTTTATGGGGAACCACTAGCGGTAGGTCAATGATATTTGATATGCAGTTGTATAAGCATTGGCATAACTCATTTCCATGAAGATTATTTGACTCCATACCCCTTAGTCATGGTCTATTAATTTTGAAAATTTTGCTAAGATAACATGTATTAGTTTGTGATTAGGTCAGTTCAAGTGGACCCATTTAGGGTAGGCAAATGTTAATTGGTATTCAGTTGTATAAGCATTAGCACATCTCATTACCATGGAGAATATTTGACCCCACCCCCTCAGTCATGGTCTATCGACTTTGAAACTTTTGCTTAGTTTACATGTATTAGTTTGTGATTAGATCAGTTTAAGATGAACTGCTAATGTTAAGTCAATGATATTTGGTATGCAAATTTATTGGCATTTGCAAGTATCGTTTCCATGGAGATTATATAGCACAATCCCCTCTTCATGGTTCATTGTCAGAAGGCATTAACCAAGAAAATGGTGGTTCGATGTCAGTAGCCGAGAATCAGTACAGAGTCTATGTAAAAGGGTTGTCTTGTCATCTCACACAGAATGAAGAAGAGGCTCTCAATTACTTGTTTGAGGTGATTAATATTTTACATGAAAAAAAAATTTGCTTTCATTTTTATCAATATTGTGTATATAAATTTTTTGTGATATTTTATGTGTGATGTCAAGAAATTTGTCGATAAAATTGAATTAAAACACATTCAGAATCACAGTATAGAAAAAGTTAATTAGTTCCTTCGAAGTTAAATGTAATGTATTTTGTACTATAAAATTTAAATATTCCATTAAAAAAACTATGGTCAATGTAATAAAAACAATAATTAATCAAAGAATTCAAATATTGAAACTCATGCACATTCATATAAATAAATGAATTGTTTCTGTCTCTAGTTGAATATTTTTTCTATATTTGAGTTCTTAGATGAATATAAATTAATTTATTTAATAGAAATTGCTAGGGGATCAGAAATAATTGAACATACTATGTTTTCAGGGAGAGACTAACAGCTAGAGCCATTGCAGCCCATTCACTGAATGCACAGTCATCTAGGTCTCACTGTATATTTACTCTTTATATTGAGGTGAATTATGTTTTTTTTTTTATGATCCCCCAAAAAGTTGTCTGTATCATTTTTGGGCATGCATCCATTTTAAATGTAGGGGGTTCTTCCGATTATACATGCAGCATTCGGAATTGTATGTCGATATTCATATGACTGAAAGAAAACCTCTATGCAGGGGCGTTTCTAGGATATTTGAAAGAGGGGCGTAGAATCTAATCTGTCGCAAAGCGGAGCGAGGCGAAATATTTTTTAGACCTTTTTTTTGCTAAAAAGCATAAAATAATTGTGAAATATGATAAATTTCCATATTCAATACATTATTAGCAGATTACGATATTTTTTTTTTAAAAGGGGGGGGGCGTACGCCCATTACGCCCTCACCTGGACCCGCCCCTGCTTTGAAGTATATAAACCTATTCTATTTATTGAAATAACAAATAAATATTTCAATTTTTTTAAACTTATAATATGTAATTGTGTTTACTTAAGACTCAACTCATGTCAACATAATTCCTCATTTTTCATTTTCTTCATGTATAGTTCGTACCTAGAAGTTCTTCTGCTGTAAATTATTTGAAATTGGCAAAAATGCACGAAAAGTATAAATTCTGATTTATCTCCAATGTAGAAAACAGTTGAAATGAATATGTTTAGAGTTATTTCCCTTCTTTTGGCTCAGTTTACAAAATTTATTTTAAATTGTTTCAAAAATCAATATTGATCATAAAACAAATTATAAACATTATTTGTGATAATCTTAGAAATCTGTCAACTATATTATCAATTATATGAAAATAATAAAGAAAAAATTGTAAGCGTCCTGTAAAATTGATAATTTATTTAGTGTTTATGAGGTAAGAAGTATTATAGTTGTGTTTACATTGGTTTGTTGACGGACAATTGTATACCATAATATATAGCAAGCGCTGAGCGCACGATACGCCTATATATTAATATTTGAAGGCTGCTAAGTAGCTAACTATATAATGCAATAATATCACTAACATCTCCCTCAAAAAATCTGATGACTCAAAGTTAAACATTTCAGTAAGCTTAGATCAATTGTAAGACTGAAACAAAATGCTAGTAAAGTTACTGGATATGTGGGCTAGATAATGTGATGACATTCACAAAAATTTTACGACTTAAGTTGATGTAAGCTTACTGAAATGTTTATAACTCACGAGACATAAGAATTTTAGACGGTAAGGTCAGTGATATTATTGTATTATATAGTAAGCTACTAAGCAGCCTTCAAATATAAATATATAGGCGTATCGTGCGCTTAGCGCTTGCTATATATTATGGTATACTATTGTCCGTCAACAAACCAATGTAAACACAACTATAATACTTCTTACCTCATAAACACTATATAAAGTATCAATTTTACAGGACGCTTACAATTTTTTCTTTATTATTTTCATATAATTAATAATAAAGTTGACAGATTTCTAAGATTTTCACAAATAATGTTTATAATTTGTTTTATGATCAATATTGATGTTTGAAACGATTTAAAATAAATTTTGTAAACTGAGCCAAAAGAAGGGAAATAACTCTAAACATATTCATTTCAACTGTTTTCTACATTGGAGATAAATCAGAATTTATACTTTTCGTGCATTTTTGCCAATTTCAAATCATTTACAGCAGAAGAACTTCTAGGTAGGAACTATACATGAAGAAAATGAAAAATGAGGAATTATGTTGACATGAGTTGAGTCTTAAGTAAACACAATTACATATTATAAGTTTTAAAAAATTGAAATATTTATTTGTTATTTCAATAAATAGAATAAATTTATATACTTCAAAGAGGTTTTCTTTCAGTCATATGAATATCGACATACAATTCCGAATGCTGCATGTATAATCGGAAGAACCCCCTACCTTTAAAATTGATGCATGCTCAAAAATGATACAGACAACTTTTGGGGGGGGGGGGGGGGATCATAAAAAATAACATAACTCACCTCAATATAAAGAGTAAATATACAGTAAGACCAAGATGACTGTGCATTCAGTGAAAGGGCTGCAATGGCTCTGTTAGTCTCTCCCTGAAAACATAGTATGTTCAATTATTTCTGATCCCCTAGCAATTTCTATTGAGTAAATTAATTTATATTCATCTAAGAATTCAAATAAAGAAAAAATATTTAACTAGAGACAGAAACAATACATTTATTTATATGAATGTGCATGAGGTTCAATATTTGAATTCTTTGATTAATTATTGTTTTTATTACATTGACCATAGTTTTTTAATGGAATATTTAAGTTTCATAGTACAAAATACATTACATTTAACTAAGGAACTAATTAACTTTTTCTACACTGTGATTCTTAATTTGTTTTAATTCAATTTTATCGACAAATTTCTTGACATCACACATAAAATATCACAAAAAATTTATTTACACAATATTGATAAAAATGAAAGTAAAATATTTTTTATGTTAAATATTCACCTCAAACAAGTAATTGAGAGCCTCTTCTTCATTATGTGTGAGATGACAAGACAACCCTTTTACATAGACTCTGTACTGATTCTCGGCTACTGACATCGAACCACCATTTTCTAGGTTAATGGCATCTGTCAATGAACCATGAAGAGTGGGGTGGGCTATATAATCTCCATGGAAACGATACTTGCAAATGCCAATAAATTTGCATACCAAATATCATTGACTTAACAATAGCAGTTCATCTTAAACTGATCTAATCACAAACTAATACATGTAAACTAAGCAAAACTTTTAAAGTCGATAGACCATGACTGAGGCGGCGGGGTCAAATATTCTCCATGGTAATGAGATGCTAATGCTTATACAACTGAATACCAATTAACATTTGCCTACCCTAAATGGTTCCCCTTGAACTGACCTAATCACAAACTAATGCATGTTAACTTAGCAAAATTTTCAAAGTTAATAGACCATGACTAAGGGGGTGGAGCCAAATAATCTCCATGGAAATGAAATATGCCGATGCTTATACAACTGCATATCAAATATCATTGACTTACCACTAGTGGTTCCCCATAAACTGACCTAATCACTAACTAATACATGTAAAACAAACAAAAGTGTCAAAGTCAATAGACAATGATTGAGGGGGCAGGGCCAAATAATCTCCATGGAAATGAGATGTGCCAATGCTAATACGACTGATACCAAATATGATTGACCTACCACTTGTGGTTCACCATAAACTAGACATAATCACACAAACTAATACGTTGTTGACGACGACGACGACGACGCCGCCGCAGTAAACAGCATACCTATGTCTCACTTTTTGACTCTGTCAAGGCGAGACAAAAACTGCATAGATCTCAAGCCTAGATGCTGTCCACTCGTCCATACTAGCCTTGTATATATATATTTGTATACTCCATAGATAATATGACAGCTAGGATCATAAATCATAGTTTTATACTACCCTCAATTATCGCACAATGTTACTACGAGTGTTTATAACTGAATCCTCTTGTGTGTACAGTTTACTGTGAACTGTTATCGGAAACAGTACCATACTACCACTAAAATCTCAACCATGAAACGCTGTTTTGATTTTTTCATATATTTATGGTCAAACTAAAGTTCCAATTCTCTTAAACATGGTCGATCATAGTCAGTTTTGTGTAATAATTTAACTCCTTTTGATACAATCACGTGCCCAACACAATTATCTATTGCATACACGAGAGGATTATTTCATGTTCAACAATTTAAACGTCTTTTTAGTTACAATAAATAATATTTAAAAAAAAAAAAAACGTTTCATGTTCTTTTGAAAGGGGACTAATGTGGATTAGTAATGGACCAATTTTTCCCAGTCTGGATTCTAGTGAACTTTTTACAAAGAAAGACTACAATACCTGAACTCATTGGTTCTTTGGTCAAACAAGTTGTCCATAACTGTATCGAGATCATGACTTGTTACTTGTATGTGTCCATAGTACACAGATGCCCCACTTGCACTTTCATTTTCTATGTTAAGTGGACCATGAAATTGGGATCAAAACTCTAATTTGGAATTAAAATTAGAAAGATCACATCATAGGGAACATGTGTACTAAGTGTCAGGTTAATTGGACTTCAGCTTCATCAAAAACTACCTAGACCAAAAATTTTAACATGAAGAAGGACAGATGGACAAACGAACACACGCACAGACAAAAAAAACATAATGCACATAGGTGGGGCATAAACAGAGGCAAAAGATACCAAGGGCATATTCATAACTTTAAGAGAAGCTGACAATGAAATAGCAAATTTTCAAAGACAAACAAGCCCACGTACGTCATAAAACGACATGAAAAACTGAGCAATACTATCCCCATCAAAAACTGGGGATAATCTCAGGCTCTCTTGAAGGCTAATTTAATCCTGCACCAATTCTGCCACCAATCATGTTGCTTATGGAAATTTAAATTGGCAAAAAGCATCTTTAGACGATGTCACAATTTAGGAGAAGAGGACTGGGTTGTGGTTACAATTGGAACTTATATGTGGTCAAACTGACACAATCTGTTATATCTATGGGTTGATATATAACAAAGTAAATATATTAATAATTTATTTTTAAACTAAAATATTTTTCTGGACATAAACCTCCATAAATTTATCACAACCACAAAATACTGTGTCCAACATCAACAGGAAATATACAGACTTAATTTTTATTTTTGTAAAAAGAAATTGTGTAATGATAGAATCTATATTTGTGATATATTCAGTTAATATACAGACCAACTGACATTTTTTTTCAATAATGAGCCATCTTACGACATCAATAAGCATAGCTAACCGAAAAATTACATCAGTATTACACTTAAATCTCAGATCAACTGAGATCATATGGACAGTCCATGCTAGTTATATCAAGAGGCTCTCCAGAGCCTGAATCGCTCTTCAGTATTATTTTTTGCTTAAATCGTTCATCAATGATTATTTTTGCTTTTTAATATATATTAATGGGTGGCTTAAAAATTCCATTGAGATGTTCTATGTATCTGTCATATTTTCTTCAAAAGCAAAGAAATACATTTTACCCCTATGTACTATTTTAGCCAAAGTGGCTATGTTTCTTGACGTACAAGAAAATAAAATACAAAATTTATATTACATTCATTAAGGATCATTCAGCTTAAGTTTGGTTGGAATTGGTTTTAGTGGTTTCAGAGGAGAAGATTTTTTAAAGTTAGAAAACATGATAAACAAATTGTGTTGTCCTTAGAGAGCAATAACTCTTTAAGGGGTCAATTGTCAATTTTAGTCATATTAAACTTATTTGTAGATCTTACTTTGCTGAACATATTTGCTGTTTACAGTTTATCTTTTTATCATTAATTCTATTCAAGATAATAACCAAAACACTGAAAATTTCCTTAAAATTACCAATTTAGTGGCAGCAACCCAACAATGGGTTATTATATTCATCTGAAAATTTCAGGGCTGATAGAACTTCACCTTATGAACACTTTAACCTCTTGTCAGACGACGACGCAGACGACGACGGACGCCATGTGATGGCTAAAGTCCTTCGGAACGGTGAGCTAAAAATAATCAGATTAAAAGTAAATTAAACCTGACAACAGAGAAAAGAAAATATATATTTTTTAGAATTTTGTTATCAATTCGGATGCAACTCTTCTTTTTCAAATGTATTCTAAATCATTTTCACACAGCAAAATTGATTATAATAAAAATACAAAATTAAGAATGTTTTTAAAATGAAAAATAATAAAAGCAGCTTATCACAGCCTTATCTTTGGAATATAGGTCATATTTAGACTTAGAATTAATCTTGTAAAAGACTCTTTCCATAGCAATGTTTTCCTAATGTAAATATCTTCATTGATAAAAAAAATAAATAAAAAATAAACATGCTGCTATTTTCTTCCTTCCTGATAAGAAATCAGCCTGAAGTAAAAATTCTTTAAAGATACAAGCCTTATAATTCAATATTCCAGACGCAAATATATAATCAATTCAATAAAATGATTAAATCCTGTGTACAACGTATAATTGTAAAATGAGTTATCCTATGAGCCATTCAAAATATGACCTTAAATGAAATAATATAGATACCTATAATAAAACAGATTGCCTCCCTTTTAGAAAAAAGAACATTACAACAACAATACTATCATTTATACTCAAGGCATTGATCTTTAAATATATTAACAGAAATATTTATTTTATGTTGCTAAACTTTGTGCAACTAAAATCTATTGATCAAAATGAATGTGATTTTTTTTTATGTCACACATCAATAAGAAATTTATATCAATACTGCAAAGCCTTGTCAGAACTGTTTATCAAATTATATCTCAAGACAAAGTTCGCTCCTCTACACTTTCTTTTTTAGCAAGAACTCTATTTTGAGATATACTTTAAAATTTACAGTAACTTTACAATCATAATTATTCTTCTTTTTCATATATTTTTGCAGTAAAAATAAACATTCATACATTTCTAAATTTTAAAAATTTGCACATTTTTAAACATTTTGACATCTTTTCTTTCTTTTAGCAAAGATGGTAAAATCAATAGAAGGTATACATATATTGATATTCAAAATATGCAAATGATTGTTTTTAGCAGTAGACTCTATCAGTCTATCATCCAATCAAAAAGTCTGTTACATACTGTTCACTGACTAATTTGTAACATGTTTGGAGGACGATTCCTGATTGATATTGTAGGTGTTCCTGGTGACCTTCTGTAAGATGGTTGTGGTTGCATCATGGCTGCTTCATATGTTTTCTGTAAAAATAAAATGACATTTAATTTTATTAATTTTGTGATTTAATACTGTATGGATAAACCTAAGAAAATCTAGGCCAGGTTGGATTATGGATTACTGTGGATTTTTTTTTTATTTGTGGTATACCAATTATGATGGATTTCATGGATACAGGTGAACCACAAATTTAAATGTTCAACGAATTACAATTTTCTATAGGCTATAATGAATCCACAGTATAACTATCAAAAAGAGTTTTTTTTAAAACCATTTTTTGTTGAACGGGTAGATTTTATCTTGATTTTTTTTTCAAGGCTAATTGTAAAAAAATAAAATACTACTGAGCAAACAAAAATCAAGTCAAAGTAGGATAGACAACATAATTGCCAAAATAACAAAAATCAGGCAGACAATCAATAGTCCACAAAACACTACACAGACATCTAAAGATTGCAAAACACAAATCCCATAAAAAACTTACAAATAATGTGAATTCATTTATTTTCGTGGGTACCAAATTTCGTGGATTGAGGAAAACTTGCATTTTTGTGGATATTAGATTTCGTTGTTTTGCTCAAGTGCATACTTTTCAATAGAAAAATTGAAGTTCGTTGAACATTTAAATTTGTGGTTCCTCTGTACCAACAAAATCCACAAATATTGGTTTCCACAGTATGCTACAAATGATATTCACACAAAAATGTAAACAAGAATATATGTCCAAAAGACATCATGCCCAGGTTCAAAGAATCATGAAATTTGGAACAAAACCCTGATTTGCAAGTTGACAAATATATTAAACAGTTCATTTCATAATAAACATGTGTTCTGAGTCTCAAGTTGATATGACTAGGTTAAACCAAAACTTTATCCTGATAAGGAATAGGTAGAAGGATGGACAAACAGACAGACCAGAAATAATTCAGCCATATACTGTTGTAAGCTGGGCAACAAAATACCAACCCTTCTCTGTGTTCTGTGTTGAGGATTAAAGAAGGCAGCTGAATCAGGATTGTTCATCAACAGTTCCATCTGTAATCTATCAAACTTTTCTTGTTCATCTTCAGGCTGTAACATAAATACAAATAAACATGAACACAAACTTTTAAGCCAGTTCATCTTCAGGCTGTAACAGAAATACAAACAAAAATGAACACAAAAGTTTTTTTTTCTGTTTAACTGAATGTTATACTTAAGCATCTGAAATTAATTAACTAATTAATCCTTACATCAGCAAAAGCAAGCAAGACATAGGATTCTGTTGAATTCATTACATATTTTGACAATCTTTTGAGGATCTTTCTGTTTGTAGAAAGAAAAAACTATTTTTCAATAAAACAGTCCCCAATAGTGGTAACAGAGTTGCATGCAACAAATTTTTTAATAATATAAAAAGTTTGAATGCAACTTTTTTTTAGTGAAAAAGGAAATAATTAGAAATTGAAATTTTCAAGTGTTCACTTGTACTGCCATGATGGGATTGTATTTTATTGTCTCTGTAGATGACAATAATTTTATTCTAGTTGAAATTTCGTTATATTATTGTTTTAACTTTAATTTTATTGCTTTTGTAATGATGAAATTAACACGTTGTCAAAAGTCTAAATTTCACAACATAAATTTTATGATTTTCACTTAATTTTCTTTTGTAGATAATAAATTTAAGACAGGTGCAAGGCGTGTTTGATTCTTTTAAAGATATATATGTGTAAGTTATTTTGAATTTGAATCAAGAAAGTTTCTTAGTTTGATTGAATTTTTAATATAACATTGATAAATGGATACCACATTTAATAAATGTACTTTAAAGAAATACAAGCTTCCGTTCTATTTTGTCGTAACATAAAATGTACGAAATAATTTCAATATGCCACAAGAAATAAATGTACAGCCATCGATGCAACCTTTGCAGATACAAAAAGTGAACTGTAAAAGCAGCTGTTATGTGATGAACTGTTTTGTGGTACTTTAAAAGTTCAATTTGTGAAATACATATCTGATATCACCTTTGTACATAAGTATGAAAATAAGTACTCCCTCTATATATAGCTAGAAGATTTTACTGTTAACTTTGAAAATATGTATAGTATGGTGACCTTCGCTATAACTAAAATTATCTTTTTTGTGAAAAGTCAGGTGTGCACTGTGAGGCATTATAACCATTTTGCGTCTTTTATCATGTGACAAAATAGATTGTAATCAATGAATATAAGAAGTTTGATTTCTAGCAAATGTTTAGTTTAAGGTAACACGATACCGAATGGCATATCTCCCGATTTCTAAACATTTTGGCACACTTGTTTTTTGAATCGAGTTACATCGGAATATGTAATAAAAAATGGGGGTCACCATTTTTGTTTTCTTGTAATTTCCATGTGAAAACGTCAATTTTTGTCACAAATTTACATAGATATATAGGGAAAATGCCTTTTTTCGACTTTTCTTTTTAGATTTTTTCAATGGATGGCTATGTTCTTATATACGGAGAAAAACTAAAAACTAACATAATATCAAGGAGTGTATACTGAATCCATGCATGTATAGAAACTCATATGTCACCATCCTTGTGTTTTAGATAAATGACTTCAAAGTTGATCGATACACTGTGAATTTGACCGAAAACGCGTGACGTTATTGAATACAGAATAACGTTATTCTTACTAGGAGGTATTGAAAAAAAATATGTGTCGGGATATGAATGGTGTTTGTTTTGTTTTCATTTTCCTGTCGGATTTGTAAATTTCCTGGTAATTCAATATAAAATTCTACTGATTTAATTTTATTTCGTCCTACACAGGGAAATTTCGCTCTCATGAATTAAAATTCACGCGAATCTTGTGTGATTTTCACCTAAACGAGCTCATACGTAAAACTTATGATAATTTCATGTATAAATAACATGATTTTTGTACACGTTCAAAATAATATCTAAACTTTCAAATTAAATTAAAGTTATGAAAAATACCTTTTTTTGTAAGGTTCACGTGAAAATGAAATGAAAAATTCACGTGAGATTCATTAGAATAACTGAATCTTCAACTTAACTCTACCATTCTGGACAATGGTGATGCCACCGCGGCAATAATGCTTCAAAAATTTGATTAAGTAAACAGTGATGTTGAAGTACAATTTGAATTGATTGCTATGATTGATGGTTACTTAACGTTCAGTGGCAAATATTTCATGTATGTTCAGGACGATACAATACAATTTGAAACAGTTGTGTCTAAAAGACACATTTGATACACCGGTTAAAAAAGGTTAATCATTCTGTTAGTTGTGTAAATTATAAAGAAAATAAAGATCTTGATAAAATACACATGTGTTCTAAAAAATAAAGTAACAAAAATACCGAACTCCAAGGAAAATTCAAAACGGAAAGTCATTGATCAAACGGCGAAATCAAAAGCTGAAACACATCAAAACGAATGGATAGCAACTGTCATATACCTGACTTTGTACAGACATTAATATTGTAAACTCTGTATGGTGTAAACGTGTGAGTTGTGTGTGTAGTAAGTCGGACAAACCTTTCAAACTGTATGCAAAATTTCACTTAAAAAGACATAGTGCAACATTCTGTCATTCGATCGTGGAAAATTATACAGAAACAAAATTCTGAGAATATATATATACATGTATATGCACCCTCTATATAAGTAAAACACTCTGCGCAATATAATGGTTCCAGCTTGAAATTGTACATGTCGGAGGAATAAGCCGGAGTCTGTACTCTGCATGCCTTTATATATTATCAAAATGCCAAATCCAGCAACCAGTCATTGAAAAAAGAATCTGACGATCTGTGCACCTTTAGTATAAGTAGTAACACCAGGTACACAATTTTAAAGCTGATTCTAAAAAAACTGTAGTCCTAAGAAATTAGCCGTATAAACCCTATATACCAAGTGCTGGATGGACGGTCGAACGGACACGAGTAAAACAATATGCTCCTGGCATTTTGTCGAGGGAACAAAATATATATTAGCGTATATGATGGTGTTCTATTTTATAAGGAATTTGGTGAAAATAAATCTTTTTGAATATGCATTTCATAGTGGAAATGTGATTTTGGAGATCTCAAAGGTAGCAATGTAAGCAAGCTAACATCTACGTCATTTGTTCTTTGTTGGTAAGTTGTCTCATTTGCAACCATACCAGATCGGCTTATTTCATATTGGTTTTAGTTTTCTCCTGAAAAACAAGAAGTTTAAAGACTTTAACAAATATGTACTAGGAGACTGAAATATGTTACTGTGATAATCAAAATCTGGCTATTGTTGTGAACATGTGATGAAATAATTTGATAGATTTAATACTTGCTATACTAAATATACTTATTAACTTTCCAATTTAAGGGACCGACGATTCTTTACTAAAACTACAAATAAGAAGTAAAAAGATACTCGTCCATCATGCATTAGTCACGATTATCTAGATGTCTTTGGTTTTGTGTGTAGTTAATTGGCCAGTAGCTGTCTTATTGTATATCCCACATCTCCATTTATTCACACAAGAAATACCAACACTTCTTTTTTACACACATACTTGTATACGTGTTGTAAAAACTCCTTATATTACTGTGATTACCCTCGGGCTTTTTCCGACGCCTACGTTAGCAATATGCCCCTCCTCTAAAAAGGCAATTTTGATAATCGTCTTTCAGTCGTTTTGTATCACCACTTTATGAAATGGTGAGTTTTTTAACTTGTACATTATGTCTATCTCAAAACACCAGAAATACACCCATCCCCGAATACCTGAGCGTAAATTAACATGAATATAAAATCTAAATGATTTTTTCAGTTTGTTTCTGCCGTTTGAGTAATAAAGGTCAATGAAACTATCTCTTTATAAATTGTTTGCTTTCGAAGCGCTTTTCTGGATTTACTTTCATCAAAGCACCGATTAATCATTTATTGTGGAGCCACGGATTTTTTTAATGAGTCGTTTGCTTGTAAATTTCGAGAAAATAATTTCAGAATGGAAATGAAAAAAAAGTTAGTCTGCTAATGCCACCCACTATCCACTTGCATTTGTAGACGCAAGTGGATACTGGGGGCTGGCTTTATTCAGACTGTAACGGCACCTGCATTTTTTATTTTATTTCGTCCTAACCAATTGCACATTTATTTCTGAGCCTTTGTTAACTTTCTACTCATTCCGATGTTGTTGTCCTGTGTAGACTGCGCTTATACGATTACACAAAGCTAGCACTTTTTTTTAAAAATGTTTCCGAAACTATTTCGGATTTATTCTGTACAGTCCAATGAATTCCAGAGACTGTTTACACTTAAAACACAGGGAAAGTTGTTCGGCCAAATAACCAAGTTCAACTATTCTTTTGTTTTCATTCCATGCCAACAAACTATTTTCGGTATGAGTTTCAACGTCTGCTTGTATGGTGCTTTTTCGATTAATTGTATCCGTATTCTTTTCCAAATACATTTCCTTTTTCTATTTTGCTAGCGGCGTTTTTTTTTTTTGGCGACCATTTTAAAACGAATGGGTTTCTTAACGAAATTACTTTAATAGTGGTACAATTCCCCGTATTTTCACACATCATCCTGCGTTTCTATAAATCGAATTTCTATTTCAAAATATCATCGGGATACGGCATACATCATAAATAAGAATTTCTTGCAACAAAAAAAAAAAACAGCCAAGAATAAAAAACTCAGTCTGTTATGCAATAGAACATATATTGATAAATCGTATAAATGCTTACTTATCAATAGAAACAGAATATTTAAAAAGTATATTTTTAAAGGTAAAGAATGAGCAGAAGAATTGGCGGAAGTCGACGAAGCAATCATAATGTCATATAATGTATTGCATTAAATCTCTCGGCACTCTGCATCTATACAAAGTTACAGTTACGTTAAAAATGTTTACCAAAAATAAAAGGATTTGTATTATGCCCCACCTAGGGGGCATTATGTTTTTCGGTCTGTGCGTCCGTTTGTTCGTCCGTTCGCCCGTCCGTCTGTCCCGCTTCATGTTAAAGTTTTTCAGGTTAAAGTTTTTGGTCAAGGTAGTTTTTGATGAAGTTGAAGTCCAATCAACTTGAAACGTAGTACACATG